GTGTTCTCTAAACAGAATGCCCAAGAATCTTTTTTTTTTTTTTTTGCGCCCGAAGCAATTGGAAAAGGGCTACCACTGAGGGAGGCGGAAAATGCATTATGCATACCACGACAGCCGGTCTGTCCTGGTTATGTGGGACTCACTGCCTACCGGGGGACCTAAGTGATACCCACTAAAAACCGCCTTTGGGGACTGGCAACTAGCTCTATTAAAGCTGCATATGCCGTATCTAAAGCGACCCTCTTTTGGGAAAAGAGGGCGCAGACGGCTAAGTGCCGTTTAGGGACTGCCTACGAAGGCATATTATTAATTTTAACTAATTTTTAATTTAATTAGGATTGGCCTGAGCCGCCAGGAGGCAGTTCAGGTCGTTTGACAACTTATTTGGCGGGTCCAAGAGAGTGTTTCTCGGCCTGCGGACGCTATAGCGAGAAGGGAGTGGGGCGGTATAAGTAACTGCCTCACGAATAAGTGTGTTAGTATGCGACTCTGATACTTTAAAGAAGTTTTCAGAGAATTTTTTAAGACATTGCTGGATAGTTGGGATTTCTAAATCCCGGTGAAGGTCGGGCCCAAGAATCATGATGCACCCTAATTTATACATTTCCCTTTCCACTTCTCTTTCGTTGTGCACGAAGAGGGGTGGACGATGTTGGTTGCCAACATTATTATCTAAATAAAAGTAAAACTTTGCTTATATACGTCTCACTGCTGGGCACATGGACGTCTGTAAAGCCATTAGTTCACCGCGATGTTTCAGTGTGTGTTGGCGGACTTGACATTTCAAGTAGAAGAAATGGCATTGCCATTTTCTCAATCATGCATCTCTAAATTTTCACGCGGTCAATCAGTACTTAAATTGCAATTACTAATCTTATTGTTATCAGTTTGGATCGAACTTGTGACGCTTGTATACTAAGCTCTTGTTCATTTAAAATTCCGAGTTACTTTTTTTAAAAGCAATTAATAATAGAGGAGTCAATATTTTGTGAAACTGTTAAAATTATTTCTACAATAATACATTTCCGTTCTGTAATTATGGGTTATTTGTACGATATGAATAAATATATCGTAATTTTTGCTAATTGGCTTAATAAAAATAAATTAATAACACTTAATAGGCTCTATGAAATAAATATGTACTTTGAACGTTAAATTGTTACAAACATTTTCATGGCCATAACTTTGCAAAGTTTATACTGTTTTTAAATTGGTTAACAGATGTAATAATACGGGAAGTTCCCGACCTCTCGCACTCCGGTGTATGCGAATCGCGCCTTTTAATTCGGTTAAAAGATTCGTCCTTCACTTCGGATATTTTGTAGGGCTATTGAGGATATCAAGCATTCTTCATATGCCACTCAGTATCATCGCTATACAATCTTATTGCACTTCATCTGTATTGGGACATAAAAGTTGTAATAGTAGTCTAAAACTCTATATCATATTTCTCTGTCTGACTTTATACTTTCTTATTATCAACTAAACGTCATATTACTTATTTTTATAATAAAAATTAGGAATTTAACTTGAAACGGGTAACCAAAAACAATTTGTAATATAAAACTAAAAGTAGCAAAGTCAAACTATAATATACATAATATGTAGGCGAAAGAGGATCATCCCAGATGCACTCATGATGGATGGCGCAAATATGTGTGAGTTACAACATAAAGTACAAGAAAATATAAAAAAGCAGATCGTTAGGAATTCGTCGCAAATATATGGTACGCTTTCCCGATGATGTTAATTTCAACAATCCCCCAAATAACAAAGGTTGCCACGTTACCATAGATACGACGCTTCGCTAGAGTAAAACTTTCACTCTTGATCTGGCCAGTATTTTACAGACTACACGGCCAATCCTGACATACGTCCGTCCTCGGGCGTGCATCTTTATGAATTCCCGTAACAAACACTATTAGTCACCACTACTTCCGCTCCTCTATCCTGAGACGAATAGGTTTATTGTCCCTATATTGTCATTGCGACATTCACACACACACACACGCAAGGCTATTACGTTTGACCACATACAACTAATACTAGCTAAGGCGACTTTTCGACCAGCCATCATCTCATATGACAACATGGACCGGACAACTGCCTCTTTCCACTAAGCACACACAGACTCACGGCTCTTTGTACAGCTTGCACGGTGCTATTAGCAACGATAGAAGATATACGCCGTAAAAACACACATACACACACATATATATATATATATATATATATATATATATATATACCCTCTTGTAAATATACTAACATCCTCTATCATACAATAATCGAAAGCGTGCGCCCCTTTGACCACGCATGGACCGGACGGCACCTTTCTCTCAAGCCATCACATACAGCTGCAAACTAGTATGTTCCTATGACCAACCGCTCGAGTCTGACCCAGACGATACTGTTATCTGTTCTCTATTCAACCAATCTGACTAGACCGGAAGGGTGAGTCTTTTTGACCAGTGTAACTCCACGTTTCATAAGCCTGGACCGGACAAATGTGTCCTCTCATGCAGCCGCGCACGGCATGACCCGGTACGACATTGTCCCTTCGACTAGCTTCGCCCAAATCCAACCTTCCAATATCAAACATTCATAAACTTGGACTGGAAGGATGTGTCCTTTTAACCAGTCGCGTGCGGCATGGCCCGGTACGGCATTGTCCTTTCGACCAGCCTCACCAACACATTAGAACACAAAAATTCCAGTCATTCTCTCAATTCATAGAGGTACGCATCGCTATAAATTTCGATCTTTAAAATGTATCCCATGTAAATCATGTTTCGCATGAACATAAAACTGAGATAACAAACCCAGTAATAACTTCATCATGCATGCTTATTTTAGGAATTTACTCGATGAGGGATCATAAGCGAAGACCAGTTTCAGACGCTGTTTCTTTAACTCTGGTTTCTTTCCTAAGGGATATGCCATTTTAATAAAGTTAAGTTCGGTAAGACAATTAGCTGCATGATCTTTTAAAGTGATTGTTAATGCCATTAACAAATCAAATCATTTTCTATGTAAGCGTTTACTTTGTGCAATAATTTTTATTACATTACACTATCCCTCTATATCCGAGTTTGGATGGTCTGGATTAAAATGCAAAAGTTGCGTAGGATTTAAACTCAATTGAGGTATGCGGCATTGCTAATACTCGTGATAAAACGTCTCCTTTACGTCCATATATGTACCTATGTATACATACTTGTCGGTTAAGGGTACTTAACAAAACATTCTTTGTATAATAATGAATACGGAGTAATAACACTTTGATTACTCTTCCGGCCAAGTTTTCCTGAGAAAATCATGATTTATAAATAATTTCTAGTAGAAGTTGTCGTTCTCGAAACCTGGTAAGAAGTATTAGATTTCAAATTAACAGATCCCCAAAAGTGAGCCGTGGTAGATCAGGGGCTAAGTGTTTGATTTCATAAACCGTGAACAACCCTGGTTTGATCGTTTAATATTTCTAACACGTTTGAAGTGACAACACATCTGCATTTTTATTTTTAATCAATGATAGATGTAAGGGTCCTTGGGCATAGCATTCATTAGTTTATGATTATTTCTATTAAAAATGCCTTTGTGTTGCACATTGTTAATAATAATTATTAATTTCTATCATAATTTCTTTGCTAAAATAAGCCTGTCCATGGCGATTAATTGTTCTAGGTACTATTAATGACATGTTTCACATTATGAACGATGTTGATAATGTTTTCTTTTTGATGTTTATTACTTCCATTACTATTCACTCCATTACTATACACCTCGCCGCCGGAAGAATCGTTGCACTCAATAGTTCATAGGTCCTCACTTACGAGCCTAATTAGATGAAGCTGTTGAGGCCGCAGGGCCAACAGCGTACACTTTCAAAAAAAAAAAAAACCGTGGCTGTCATAGGAAGCGACAGAGAGAAGTCGAAACAAGTGATCGGCTGCAGCATTTTCATGATATCGATATATCGTAATGTTTTGCAAAAGTTTTATAACTGGATGGTTGGACCGCCCAGTTGGCGCGCCCAAGGAAATGGAACGAAGTAAACGCGATACTGATGGACGATATACATCGATATATTAAAACACTCAAATTAAAGTATCGATTCATCGAATCAATCCGATGTCTTCATCAACATCGAGCAAACACCGATGTTTTTTGTTCGATGCATCGAAGAGGCATACCTGATAGGATACCAATATTTTCGCATGAGCGCCACTTTGCGAGCAGTCATCAGTGCTTCGTAAATTTTTAAAAGCAAAGGTAGACTGCGCAAGCTGGTTGGAGGTGCAATACCAGTGCTTAAATGTGAAGTAAGATTATACTTATAGTTTAGGCTAGGTTTTAATATCTTAAGTATTTACTTTACCTAATTTGAGTAGAATATAGCTTAAGCTTTTTAAAATTTGTGGCCAATACAAATCAGATGTCTTGCAATATATCTGATTTAAGTTATTTTACGCAGAAATGGAGTTTGAATCCATTATTCGATTGACTTTCTATTAATGTTTTACTTATTTTCATTACTTGTACTATACTTCAAAGCGATTCACGACTGGAAAAGAAACCTTGTTATAATTTTTAATATGTTCCGTATCCTAAACTATAAGTCAATTATGTAATACGGTAACATAATGGATTAAATAAGTACAGTAATATATTTTTGCATTACACACATATTAGTAAGCTGAAGTGGCAATGGGCTGACCATATAGCTCGAAAAAACCGACAAACCGACAGCCGATGGGGGAAAACTGTTCTTGAGTGGCAGCCTCGTAGGGCTAGGGCTAGGGGCTAGGGCGATCTCCACTAGATGGAGTGACGACTTGGTAAGACATGCAGGAAGTCGATGGATGCAGGTGGCTGATGACCGTGCTTATGTGGCATTTCTTGAGGGAGTCCTATGTTCAGCAGTGGACTTGTGAAGGGGCTGTAATGATGATGATGATGATGATGACATATTTCTCAATTTATATTTTCTTTGATTTCAGGAATGTGTTTCCAGAGAATATTGCCCAGGCTACAATCGCATCTTACCGAACTAGATTGGTCTACGACGTGAACGATACCGATATGATTAAAGGTAGAAAAGATTATTTTAACATAGTTAGCCTAAAACAATTCAACCTACATAAAGCTACTTTTGTATATTGTCGTTTGAAGTTTAGATCGTTATAAAATGTTTGGGCTTCTTTCGATTTGATTTTAATTTTTATCAACTGAGACTTTTTCTGGAATTGTTGTTACTGTATGCAATACATAACTAACACAACGCGTGATGCATTGCGAACGCCGTCTATCAGAATTGGACGTAGTTATATAAAAACGTTCCAACCCACAAGTAATTCAAAAATGAGTTAAATATACAGATCTAATTATTTAGACATCTTCGCGAACATTTTTGATTGTCACTCCCATGACTGACTTGACATTGGCAGAATTCTTTTAAGAGAAGCCAAAAAGTGAAGAAGAAGAACTCATTTTTGAATGACTTGTGGGTTGGAACGTTTTTGTATAACTACGTCCAATTTTTGAAGACAATCTCTTATATTATAACTGCTGATTCTGTGATAATTTTGATCACATACCTCATGAGTAAGAGAAAAACAGTTGATTGAAAATAACTGCAAAAATATCTAACTGCCGTAACGTCCGTGCGTAGCGTCAATAACTTTGTACTGATTGACCGAGTAACATCTCACAAACTGGTTGATAATTTAAAATAAATCCAAACTTAAGGAAGACTCTCTCGTAGCGTAGCAACGTAAGGGTTATTGTGAATCAATGAAATTATAAATCGAGTAAAGGAGCTAAGTGGGATATATCCGAAACTATTACCGTATTTTATAAACAAAATCGAGGCGTTGACGTCTGACAAATTGACCTAAAAGAATTTGTTTTTTTTATCATTAATTAATGGCCTCACTACACACAGCTAGTTTCACAAAAACAGTTTGGACAACAGATGGGACACAGCGTGCCCGCAGACCTTACACCCGCTTACCTGGGCGGTTCTCAACGCCCAGAACTTCAATCCACACGAGGTAGCCATCATAGCCAGTGCCCGCAACCCCTGTTCGGACGGCGATTATCCCCCCTCCCATTTTTTTATAGCCCGTGGCTTCAGGGCTGCGAGCCCTGAGTCCGATGAACCTGTAAAAGCAAAAAAGCACTAACATTACAGAAACTAGAGAGTTAACGACGGCGACGATGACTTTTTTAAAAATAATACTTTTCGAAATAAATGTCCTTCCTTTTTTTGGAAAATATTGTATTTTCACTGCTCTATAACCTGATGTACTCATAAAGAATGGCAAATAAAGTGATTATTTGGCATTCTTTATGAGTACATCAAGTGAAAATACAATATTTCCAAAAAAAAAGGTTGAACATTGATTATTTCGAAAAGTATTATGTTTTAAAAAGTCGTAGAACCAAAGTTATTAATTTTATATTTAAGAAATTAAGGTTTGTGATAGTTTTGGTATATTACAATTAAACCTGTACATATTTTTTGATGACTTATTTATTAGGCGTACACTAATTTAATTTATATTCATTTATAATATAATGGTTTTTAGTAATGCCCTCTTATATATAGTATGTGCCCTTTTCAGATCACATTGTATAGGTAACTTGTGAAGTAAATACAAGAGTTGCTGACTAAGCTTTTATTTGTTAATTTTAGGTCAGCTAGAGACTTACAAGATCGACGGAGATTACCAGAATGGAAGTAATGTGCTGGGATTGGTGTGCTTTAGCATAGTTCTCGGTATCACACTTGGAAAAATGGGTGATAAAAGTCGCCCGCTACAAGATTTCTTTCACACTTTTTCAGAAGCTATGATGATCATTACAGGATGGGTGATATGGTAAGTACATTTGTGAATCATTCGAACTATTTGTAATTAAAAAGGAGGAGGTTCTCAATTCGACTGTATTTTTTGAAAATGTGTATTATATCACAAGTAATATATGTATTGATAAAAGTTATAAAATACTATATAGACAAATTAAAGATTACAGTTCTATGAACAAAAGAGTTCAATTGTTTGGCTTTCAAGTTCAGTCAGGTTATGATTTATTTGGGGGATGCCTTTTATCGATGACGATTGAAAAATCAACCCTTTATACTACTTCTTATATATATATATATATATATATATATATATATATATATATATATATATATATATATATATATAAGATTATATATATATATATATAATCTTTGGTGCGTCAGTAAGTAAGTAAATAAGGTTTGTAGTTCCGCTAGTACCCAATAGGTAACGCTATGGGCGAGTTACGTATATATTTTACATTCAAACCTTAAAACGTCCGGAGTGAATACGGAACGATATTCATCGCACCAACATGTACCGGAAGAGGCAGATTGCCTTCTGCCGAGTCAACTAGCTATAATATAATCTTTGGTGCGTCTGTTGGGGTTCGTGTAGCTTCAAAACAACTTGACGGCTTGAGGTCATATACACACATTATATTTGTTTCTTTTTCAAATAGATGGTTCCTAGCAATGGCAGGATTCGAAAGGTGACGCTGTAGTCAAGTCAGTCAAGCTATTAACAAATTCTATACTTTCAACAAAGACTGGCCCTCTGCGTAGGATAGGGTTTTAGTGCATGCGTGTGTGCGTAAGCACAGCTGCACTCTCTATTCACCTACTCTCTCATAGTATCGGAATAGGATGGCAATCTGATACGACTCGAGAGAGACACGCAGGACCTTTACATACTTTGCGAAGCGCGGGGTGAAACATCGCCTTGTTCCTGAACTCGTATTGCTATAGAGAATTTCTTGAAAGAAAAAATCCAATTATAGATTTCTGGTCACTCCAGGGTTTCAAAACCATGACCACGTGCTCAGCACTTGCGCTAATGACCACAAGACAAATATAGTCATATTCACTATATTTGTTAGTTTAGTACCAAAAATAAAAATTATAAATTCTAGACGAGACAGGTATCGCTTAGGTCGAGCTATTAGTTAAAAAATTTAAAGTGTAAAAAGTCCGGAGTGAATTTGAGGTAAAATTCATCGCGACATCTTTAAAGTGCAGAAGGATGTATGCCAACTCAGCTAGTCTGTATTTACATGATGTGTCTGTCTGTAATATCCAAAAATAACAGGCTTCCATTAGGCTCAGGTGGTTAGTTCCATGACGTTAAGACATGAATAACCCCGTTTTAAAAATTTTGTCTGTCTGTCCGTGCTAATCTTCAGAATGGCTGAACCGATTGTAATGAAACTTCACAAACAAATAGAGAGCATTACCAGGAGTAATCTAGGCTATAGCTTTGTTTTTGGGGTATACATTCTAATTTTTGATTCAGGAATTTTAAGTTTTTTTAAGTGCAACTTGTAACAAACTAACTTAGGACTTTAATATTATATAATAACAATTTTTAAAGAATTTTATCGTCTTTCATCGTAACCGTTAAATCTTTTGTCCAGGTTATCTCCACTTGGTGTGTTCTTCTTAGTGACAGCTAAGATTATGGAAATAGATTCGTTTGCTGACTTAGTCGGTCGATTGGGTCTATACTTTATGACTGTACTCCTCGGTCTCTTCTTGCATGGATTCGGAACGCTCAGCATCCTTTTCATATTGGCCACGAAGAAATTACCCTGCCGTTACATCGCTAAGATGGGTCAAGTCATGGCCACTGCTTTCGGGACTGCTTCCAGGTAAATAAATTATTTTTAACTACTCATTAGAAAAATTATAGTGCATAAATTAAAAAAAAATCAGCCATAGTGTCAAACATAAGTTCCCTTTGTTTATGAAACTTTAGAATGCCTGTTATAACGAGTTGAACGTAAATTCAAGAAAAACAACTTCTTTCTGCGTGAATCCCATATCTCTGGTGCCCTTTGACCTACAGGACCCAAATTCAAACTCGACTGAGCTACTACCTCAAGGTATCCACATACCAAATTTAAAGTCAATCGGTCTAGTGAAACGGAAGTTATCGTGTCGGCATACAGACAAACAGACTGTCAGCTAAAACCATTAATTTCCTTTCAATGCTACGCAGAAGAAAGTTAATAACTTAAAATTGTTATGTGATAAAATTGCCTAAAATAAAATAAACAAATAATAGAATTTTTTCCAATCATTATCAACCGACACAATTCACCGATAAACATATTCATAACAGATTGGTAAGTTTCCGCAAGTTACCAATCTCGACATGAGGTTTCATATCGTATTACCCGACGCTTTGCATCTTTAAGGTCGCTACTTGTCACCATAGTCCTACTATTATCTGTGGTTATCTGGAAAATCGAAAGTGTTTTTGTCTCTTTACTCTTTTGACTTTGTTGATTCTGGACTACTGGTTGATACTGCAGCCTACGGAAGTCCATTGCTAAACATAGGGCTCCCCATAGATTGCCTTATAAGCCGGATATTTGCAATAGTTCTCACGTTTGGCAGGTGGGGTGGCAACTATAGTTTTTTTTAAAATTGGTAATAGGAAGACGGTTGCCGCCTATCTGTTTGTTTCCCTCTGTCGCCTCTCACGACACCCACCGAATAATTTGGCTTAGTGTATATTCTCACTCATAGTATATAATTTTAATATACGAGTATATATGAATAGGCAAACTACTACACACATACGAAGTGAAGTGACGTTCGCAAAATTTTATAGAATAAGGATGACAAGTTAGCACACAGACCACCTGATGGTAAGCGAATGCTGTGGCCCATAGACATCTACATCTATTCTCGTTTAAGAATCAAAATGCAGATGCGTTGTCAATACTGAGGACTAAGATGGAATGCCTCGTATCCCGTAAAAAGGGTCTCCGGTTCTCTAAACTCACCATACGAAATACAACAGCATTGAGCTGCTATTTTATGTTGGAATTCTATGAGAATGTGGTCCTTCCCCGTCGAGCCGACTCACTCCTACTACAACTATAATATAACTGAAACATGGATTTACCCCATGTAAAATCCTTTTACAGATTTAATATAATATAATATAATAAAAATGAAGTCTGAAAATGATTTGATTTCAGTTCAGCAACAATGCCCATAACAATAGGGTGTTGTGATGACATGGGCTTAGACCCTCGCATCACTCGTTTTGTTATACCCATCGGCGCGACAATCAACATGGACGGCACAGCACTTTACGAAGCTGTGGCGGCCATTTTTATTGCTCAGTTGAGGAAGGTTGAAATGTCATTTGGAAAGATTATTGCAGTGAGGTAAGTGGAAAATTGTTCCTAATTTTCATATTAACGGCTCGGTAGAGCAGCGGTTTAGCGGCAAGAAAGTGTGAGTATAATTCGCTATCAATTGTTATTGATGTCATACAAATTAACAAATGAATAGAATATACGATTAAAAGTTCAAATTTTTATAACAAATAGAAGTAAATGTAATTGCATCGCGCAAAAAATGTTCGTTTGTTGACGTTTGACTTCATGTTTTATACTTTTTAAAGGATTACTGTGATTAATTTTTAAGACTAAAATGTTGAAATTTTTAATTAAATTATTGCATTAAAGTGTGACGGCGACGGCAGCTAGCATAGGCGCGGCAGGCATTCCACAAGCAGGCTTGGTTACAATGGTGATGGTGCTCGACACCGTCAACCTGCCCGCCGAGGACGTCTCCATCATCCTTGCGGTCGACTGGCTGCTGTGAGTTTGTTACTAAAATGTTATTTACAGTAAGACCTAATAAAGTACGTATTGTTAATAATATTGTGTGTGTGCGGTCTGTATTGCGATATTGTTCAATATTATTGTGGATATCCAGAAATTATGATTTTGTCACGCCAATATTGGGGGGAGACAGGGGTATTGTCAATAATGTTGTCGTTTGCGGGCGCGCGGCAATATTTTGCTTGAGGAAAAGATTTCAAGGCAGGCGGACGTTCGTTTTTGTTCAAAATGGAGTACGGAAACAGGGAAAATAGTGTTGATACTGTTGATGATAGTACTCTCACGGAAAAGTAATATTTTTCAGTATTTATTAAAACATGGGAAACTTATCCAGACTTATGGAATACATCCTGCGAAGCATCTCGCGATAAAGTTAGGAAAAATAATTGATAAGTTGCTCGATATTTATATAAAAAAAATCAAACCAAATAGCACGAGAGAAGACGTATGGAAAAAATTTAATAAAAAAAGAAAGATTAATCCATCGTTTTTTTCTTGATTGCCCTTTCTTAGTTAGTAAAATTAATACAATACTCAATGCAACGCCTTTTTTCTTTCTATCCATTATATTAAACGTGCACACATGAATCTAGCTGCAGAGCGACTAAGTCAGATTGTACCATGAAAAATTGCCAATAATATTGCGTAGTGTGCGGTATACTGATGAAAATTTTTGACAATCTTGCATTGACAATATTATTGTGTGTGTGCGGCTAGCCTAATGTGTATACATTGGGACCGTTTGTTTTTTTTTTAATTTTAAGTGACAAACGAAATTACAGTCGACCTGATGGTAAATGGCTACTGCAGTCCGTAGACACATGCAGCCAAATTCAAACAAAGAAAGCTACAGAGGTCTTTCACCTCTGAAGACTCAGATAGATTTCTGCACAGCTTCTTATTATACTGGCTCTCTATTCTCTCCAGACCGGAACACAGTGTAAGTACTGAATGGCGACAGATACAGAATATTATTTACCCAGACGAACCCCTCGACCAAAAAGGACCTTTTTTCAACAACGTGTCAACTGTATGCCACTTTACTTGAAATTGTTGTCTACATTTATCTAGCTAGGTAGACAGATTGGCGAGTTCAGCAGTCATGTCATTAAAAATTTTCAAAAATCACTCGGGTAAAAAGTAAATACTTCTATAACTACTAACAAAAACAAAAGAAGAATTTGAATCGGATTTGAATGTAGATCTCACGATATGTTAGTTTAGTAGCAATACATATCTTTTGAATGCCGTTTTTATAATTTTAACATTAATATTTTCAGCGATCGATTCCGCACGACGATCAATGTCGTCTGCGATGCATTGGGGGCCATTATAGTAACCTCATTATCGCAAGGCGATATTGAGAAATCACGCGTTGCTCATGAAAATGATAAAGAACTAGCTCCAGCGCATGAACTCACCGAAATTGAAAAGGGCGAACATTGAATGTATTACGACGTCCAACATATTATCGGATGCGAGCCGCACTGTGTTCATATGACGCGCTAAGTATAAACGTTATTTTTCACAGGACAGTGATTCTTATTTTAAAATTCATGGGAAAAATCACAATTTATATCACACTGTCAATCAGCCATATTTACGTTATGAGGTGATTTAAAACTTGTTTCAACAGATTGATTAATTAAATTACTATGTGTTTTTGGATAAACTTTAGTAAATATGTATTTTATTAATACATCAATTGCAGCCTGGAATTATTAAAAAAAAAAACTTTATTAGTTTTATAACAGTTTTGGTTACCGATATTTATAGTTCATTTTAGTATAAATGTCAAGTAGTCAGTTTTAATGTATGTAGGATATTTAATTATTCATATTTGATTGATGGTAGGTGGTTAGTGCAAGGTTATAACGTGTTGTGAATGTGCAATTTTACATTACACAAAATATTATACGTTAATTACAAGGACGATTTTAAAAGTACTTAAAAGCTATTTCACGATTTCTCAAAACTTACATTTTATTTGTAATTTTCATTTAATGAAAATATTTTGAGATATCGTGGAACGGATTTTGAGGCAAACTACACGCCACATAATTTAATGCGTTTGTTACGAATTGAAAAATGATTGAGAAGTGCGAATTTAAATACCATATTACATTAATGTAGAAAAAGTTATTTTATAGTTCCGTGTTTCGAACTAAATGTATTTAAGTTGTACATTCCGAGATATTAGTTGGAATTTTTAAAAAAAATAGTAGTTATTTCAAAATGTTTTCTAATATAAACATTTTGTCTATAATATGTACTCTATATATACATTATACATCAGGATAAAGCGAATTTAGAATGTTTTAGGAAATTTTGATAGCTGAAAACTCCCCTTCTATTTTTGTATGAATGTATCTACATATAGATTTATATTGTATGTATATCAATGATAGTAAATGTGCCATATTGTAAGTAAACTTATATGTGTAATTACATAGTTTACGTAAATTGTATAATCTCCAATCAATACGTCTGTTTGCATTCCAATTCAAATTATTTAATATCGATTGAACACAGAGTGTTCCGATTTAATTATTTTGCTAATGTTAGTAATTATCTGAAATATAATTGCGTGATGTGTAGTACATGATATTATCTGTTTTGCATATTTTTACTTCCGTACATCTATATACCTACAATTATTTTTAGTATAACCGCCATTGCTTTTATTATGAAATGTAATAAAGTTATAACTCTTTATTTGTTGTTTGATATTTAATTATTAATAAATTAAAATAATTTATATTACGCGAAACGAGATTCGTTTATACGAATAATGTCATTCAACTTCTATAATAAATAGACTCTTATAGTTATTTTTATCCATGAGGTTTTAATTAGCAATATTTTTTTTTAATTTATAGCCATTTATCGATATTATATTTTAAGTAGAATAGTTGATAGTAGTAGTAATAAAAGTGTTAACTGTATAGTTATGTGAAAAATAGGTTTCATTTTAGAAGAATGCAAGACCTTATTTTTCGTCTTTAAAGCTAAATGTTGTAGTATAACTACAATATTGACATATTAAAATAATATTTATTATTTTTTGCAACTGTGGTAATTAACTGATTTTGAAATATGACATAATTTATTTAGAATATTATATTGTTATCACTTTATTTGGACAACGTTTCCATTTGTTTTTAAGAGTACAAACTATCTTATTTATTGATCGTAAATGTGTTAATCTTCAAAATGTCACTTTTACTTCTCTATGGCCATAGTTGAATGTTAATTATTTTAATAAATAATTATTATATTGTGATGGAGTTTTTTTTTATTACGGAATTCAGACATGTTTTATTATAAAATATTTATTTAAGTAATTTTCGTTAGTTATTTACGAAATAATATAATATATTTGGTACAAAACATGCCTTATAATACACAAGCACTTCCTAAAAATAAGACAAGAGGCACTAAAAAGAACATCTTACTTAAATTAAAATAAACAAATGAATAAGGTGTCGAAATTAACATTTTTATCGAGATTAAAATTTACAGAGCTATTGGTCTGATCAGTCAGTCTCATTACTAGTGATCTGAAATTTTGGGGTATCTAATTATATCTAGAACTGCGAAGAAATATGTAAAATCAGTAATTCGGGAGAGGTTTACGATGTGTTTAATATTATTATCGCTTGCTTTTGACATTTTTATATGAAAATCTACAAATTTATTTAGAAAGGTTTGTTCATGTTCAAATTTTTGTGTAGATATAATTGCACCCAAATTTTGGATCACTACTACTCAACTTAATTATCAATACACAATTATAACTTAAGAGTTAGAACCAGTTATCCAGTTTATGCATCCTAAAATATCCACCCTACGGTGGATACTCGGAATCGCGTATCCACCGTAAACCCGATGGAGTAGATTTTCGGAATTCGTATTTTTGTTTTTCGAATTTTCCCCCTTGGTAGCTCAAGATACTCATTAAACATTAGCACACTTATAAAAAATATACAAATACTTCTATTTGAAAGGTCAAAGCTTAAATAAAGGAAGTGCCCCACAGGATTACAAATTCATTGCAATCTTGACATAAAACAATTTTAAATGAAGTTAAAGACAATATAATGATTTCTTATATTTACGCGAACACTACACATTGAATAAAACTATTTTTACGGATTTTATCGCGTTTAATTAACTTATTTTATATTCCCGACGTTTGCCACTTGACGTTTCGGTTGCTTTCCAGCAACCGAAACGTCGGGAATATAAAATAAGTTAATTAAACGCGATAAAATCCGTAAAAATAGTTTTATTCGAAGTTAAAGACAAATTATGCAGAGGTTATACAGGATTTAAGATAACGTCAACTCAATAATCAAATTAGTTTTGATAATTTCCTAGACATATTGCAGTATTGTAAATTACCTAATAATAGTAGGTCTTTATTTATGAAATTTCTGTTCTGCAGTACTGGCCATTTCAAATTAAAACAATTTTTGTTTAGCTAAGAATTCTAATTTGAAAATATGGAATTCTTTTTTCAAAATTAGTCATTTGCTTATTGATTAGCGTTATGTTATAATTTCATCGCATTTGAATATTTTTCATCATGAATACATTAAAAATTCGAGTAATTATGGAAATGAGTACCGGTTGTGGCAGAAATGCGATACAAGCGCACGCAAATCAACTACGTTTACGGAGCAAATATTGCAAACGGACGCACCACCTGTTATTGATTTGTCCGCTTCTATTCTGGAAATATCGACTTGAAAAAAGAACCCCGTGGTCATCTGAAAACTTTGGTCCACAATGACAAATAAAAGACGATTGTGGGAGCTGATGATACTCAATCTACGGCTGAATTAATAGCAGTTTTCGACGTTAGCATCAAAACAATTTTGGTCCATTTACGTCGAATCGGCAAGGTAAAATAACTTGACAAATAGGTGCCCCACATTAGTGCAGATATGTACGGTGAATAAATAAACAAAATGATGGAAAAACAAAAGGATTAAGCAGACACGTCTCAAGCCAGCTTTGGTCAATCGCTTGTCCGTTTCTGCTGCTCCTTCACGAAAACGCGTGATCTCATACTGCACAACAGACGTTCTCCAAGTTACAAGAGCTGGGGTTGTAAGCTCTTCGTCATCCGACATACTCACCAGACCTAGTGCCTACAGAATTCTAGTTTTTTCAGAATTTGGATAACTTTTTTACGGGAAAAAAATTCAATACCCGAGAAGTAGCACAAAATGCCTTTCAAGAATTTGTTGATTTCTTCAAGAAGGGCAACAAAAAACTACCTCTGCGTTTGGTTGAATGAGTGATTATTTTGCGTAGTAGAAAAAAAATACGTTAAATTATTTTATAAAAAACGGCAATTTCATATGTAAAGACCTAATTTAATTTGATAATGTAGGGTTATTAAAAATTAATTAATAATTAATGTGTATGAGTATATATATTGTACAACTGTATTTGGGGTAAAAAGTCTGAAGAGCGGTTAAAAGTAAATTCAGATTATAAATCTCGTCTAGGGTGGATAGACAAACACGCATTTCCTAGTATCTACACTAGGGTGGATTTTTTAGGGTGCATAAACGGAATAACCTGTTAAACTTTGGAATGGAGGTTTAATAAAACTAAAAGACATGAGTATCTAATAATTATCTAGTTATTTACATTACTATGACAATGGAATGTAATAAAAAACTAGAAAATAGAAAATGAACTATAAGTGAACTCTTGGCTCATTTCTTCACATGTGAAGTCGTATTCATTCTACAATAAAACTCCATTCTTGGAGAAATATCACTATCCTTCAACAGTTTCAACATAGAAATTTTATAACTATTTAATATACACGAATTTTGATTTGATTCTTAAGAAAAAAGAAATCTTAAAAAAAAAACAAACAAAATTATTGTTAAGTGAAATATGTTTAAAAAAAAGGTCACGCAGTTTTCTTGCTGGTTCTTCGCAGGACAGAGGTATTTTCCGAACCAGTGGTAAATAAAAAATGATATTCAATAAGTATTATGTAATAATCAATATTGAATAGAAAATCATTATATTTTATTCATTCTGTTCTATTAAATAACTAAATATAGTTCATATACATTATAATTTGTTTTGCCGTTAGGTACCTCGCTTGGTTAAATTTAGTACTTTGGCAAATGACCTCGACTCTAGATATGTCTCAAGACTTCATTTTAAAGCTTTCTTTTACATTACAAACCTAACCTAGATCTTTAATACATCTAACTTTAAGATAAATATTATTTATGCTTCATGAACAGCTATTAGTACAATTTACAAGGTGTAAATAAAATTTTATTTCGTTATTGATTTAGCTTTGTTCTGCTTTTTTAGCGTTTCTAGCGTTTATAGAAAGGCTGTTTCATATTGCGTCGGCGTCGGTATATACTTAAACGATGCCGTTAGCAACCAGGTTGTTGTTATGATTTAGGTGCGTTTGGGTTCCATTTTTGGAATTGTAAGTTGAATCCCTTCTCTCATTTCTTTCGTTTTGTAAGGAGCTTCGTGCGCGGACTAGAGTCGCCGCTGAAATTTCCATAGAGTCGCCATATGTAAATCTTGATCCTCTTCTCATGGAGCCGTTTCGATACCTTGCATTCTAAAAAAGTATATTAACGTGAATTAGTAACTCCAGAAGTACTTATTTAAATATATTTGGACTCTTTAAGAATGAAGTCCATACGAAGAAAATTTAATTATAGTTATTGTAAGTGTATTTGTCTTATAAATTCATACGATATCGATACTGTAGTGAGCTTATTTCTTTAAAAAATATGATTATATGAAAACTGTCGGAGGAATGTATAGCACATACCGGTCTTGAACGCCAGCGGTTTCTGTTAAATACGCCATACACGATAGGGTTGGCACATGAGTTTGTGCACGAAAATAGCCACATGGCTTTTTGGAACGCCGGATCTAAACTTCTTACGGATTCCTTATCTATCCAATACCTGAAATTGAAAATAACTTTAAAAATTAAGAAAATCCAAAAGTGGCAACCTTGTACCGCACGTTCAAAAACTGTTACTTCTACTTGCTTAGCTGCTACAAGAACATCAAGTCGTGGCTTGTCGGCAGAAAGGAACATCCGAAGTTTTCGCACTTAAGATGTTCAATATTACTTACTTAGCCACGGGCTCGAATCCCTAATGTAACGAGTGTTTGTTTGGCTTACAAAGTAAGAATTATTTAGGCATATCATGTATTTTATCGCATCTACCACGGAGAGTGCTCTGAGGATTTGTTCGGACTAATTCCAGTCGCTCAATTTCACCATTGCACATGGCGACAAAACTTATTATAGCGATATCGATTGATTGACTTAGATGATTGGCGGTCCACCACTGTGTGATTTAGAAGAAGTTTTTTTCCTCGCACAACTTCCTTGTGGAATCGATTACCACCAGCGATTTTTCTGGACCGATAAGACTTAGGAACCTTCAAGAAAAGAGCCTTTTTAAACGGCCGGGAACGGATCTGCAATTCCCCTGGTGTTGCAGTAGTTAATGGGCAGCGGTAGTCACTTACCATCAGGTGAGCCGCATGCTCGTTTGCCCCCTCTCGTATAAAAAAGGGACAAAATTCCTTGATAAATTAATCTATTTTGTGAAATATTTCTTTTAACAAAATTTCATTAACAAGTTTTTTAAATTTTGTATTCGATTTTTGTACTATATTTGTGAGGTTCTATGGAAGAACTCTAAAATGACTTTCTAGTTTTAGCTTATCTAAATTGGAGAATCTCTAGTATATCACCGCAATCCGTTCTACAGGAGATAGTGCGTTTTGTATTAAATTAATTTATATTTTTCTGTACGTGTTAAAATGCAACAAAATGCACTCCAAAAATACTATGTGCATTCATTTTTACGTGCAAGACTAGTGAAGGTACTACAATAATTTAAGATGACATCGTCAGAAGCGTGATTTGACCGAATAGATTATTTTTCCGAAACGATCTCGATTTCAGCCCTTTTGCTTACTTGAGAACAGTCGTGTGACCAACAACCGTGCTCAAGCGTGGCCTTTCGTACAACGCCATCGGCCAATCTCGATCGGATCAGAATTTTATATCTTGTCATAGACCGACCGTATTGAAGCTGCCCAATAGTTTAGCCGGTCGATCACTCAGTTGCAGCCCCGGATCTAGGGGGGGGGGGGGGGAGGGCCGGGTATAGATGTAGCGCGAATGGGTCAGCTCGACGGGACAAGGACCACGCTCTCACAGAATACCAGTATAAAATAGCAACTTAACACTG